ACATTCTTGTTTCACAAGGCATGTTCATTTCTGTGGATGACCAAAAATCTGCACCAACATGAAATATATATGTTTTATACATATTTTTTTGTTGCTCAAATCTTGTAGGTTGTCAAATACCATAACAGAAGAGAAATTTAAAAAAATACCATTTTTCAAATGTCACTTTATAAAAATGCCACATTTTTGAAATCTTTACAAAAATGCCACTTTTTCAAAATTATTTTTTCTTTATATCATTTATGTTTGGGTTAATTATGTTCTAGTAGGATTTAGTTGTGAGGGTTTAGGGAGTTTTAGGGGTCAAAACATTTTTAGGGTTTAGAATTTTAAGATATAGGTTCTATAAATCTATAATTAGTGGCATTTTTGCAAATGGGCATCCCTAAGTGGCATTCTTGCAAATATGCACACAAAAAGTGACATTTTTGTAATTACCCCATAATAGAATATACATAGATGGTGATTAGATTTAACATATTGCTAAACTTTCGTAATATATAAGGTGTCCACATAGGCAATTTTTTTTTAAAATGTTTATTTAATTTATGTTTAAGTAGATTTATTGTTACTTAAAACTAATAAAGTGGAATTAAATAAGAAAACTAAAAATATATAAACAAATTATCAAAACTAGAAAATACAAGAATATTTGAGTATTTTATTGTTGTAAATAAAAAATTATAACAAAAAATATATTTCATTTATATTGTATTTCATTTGAGAGTAACAAAATTTTATGAGTTTATGATAAGATAAATGTTTATATATTTTAATTTCAAAAAATTGGAAATATAATGGGAGAGTTCTCTCTTCATCTAAAGTGTCCACATAGGCAATTTGTTTTTTAAAATGTTTATTTAATTTATGTTTAAGTAGATTTATTGTTACTTAAAACTAATAAAGTGGAATTAAATAAGAAAACAAAAATATATAAACAAATGATCAAAAGTAGTANATACAAGAATATTTGAGTATTTTATTATTGTAAATAAAAAATTATAACAAGAAATATATTTCATTTATATTGTATTTCATTTGAGAATAACAAAACTTTATGAGTTTATGATAAGATAAATGTTTATATATTTTAATTTCAAAAATTAGAAATATGTAAAATGAATATAAATATATGAGAATGAATAACATATAAACGATATAAGAGAATAATAATAAAAAAATAATTATTGAAACATCGTAATTGAGTATCAAATGATTGTTAGGAGGCTACAAGTCTAAAGAGAAATAAGCTATCTTATTTGACCAAAAAAATACTGAACAATCTCACTAAAGAAGAGAAAAAAAAAAGTGAAAACTTGGAATATATAATTTATTCAAAATATTATATTTGAGCTATGGAAGTATAAAAAAAAAATTCTAATTAATAAAGTGTTGAGTGATTAAATACAAAAATTGTTCAGTTCAATTCATATTTATTTTCAAATAAGAATTATATATAAACATTAAAATAATTGAGCATTAATTCATATTTTCATACAATACAAATAAGATAAACAATTATTAATTTCAATTCAATTCAAATCAAAGATTATGTTATATCTAAAAAAAGTTGGTTGATTTGCCAATTATAAATATAAAATAGTAGATTAATTACACTTCGTCACTGTATTTAACAAAATTATAAAAGAAAATCTCGCGCATCGCGCTAGTCATATTCTAGTATGCTAGTAATATCAAAGTCTAGAAAATTCTTCCATTTAGGCTTCACGAACTTCATTTCATAGACGTGCCTTGATGTCACAACACTTGGTCCGCAAGCTACACGTCTTGCTTTCCAAATCATATCTAATACTCCCCCGCACTTGACAAAGGTGGAACGCCAAACGCAACAACTGCAATCACAAAGCGGAAAACCTATGTCATGGACAACTTGTCGAGGACGGACAAAACAAGTCAACAAACTCCTCTGGGTATAAACTTCAATCTTCAAAATAGGGATGAAACTTAAACTCGTCTTTGATCTTGATAAAAAAAGGGGAAAACGTCCCATGGATTCAACGTGCAACTCCATAAATAATTGTCTTTGTCTCGGACAGTCCATAAATCGGATTAAGAAAAAATTGACCTAAAACATGAGCGTTCCAATAATACTCCTTCGTAATAGTTAAATCATAAGAAAAAGAATTGGAAAAATTCAAATTGAAAATTGGATCTTGTAAGTGGGATAAACAAAATGAATTTCAAGGTTCAGCTTATATATTTGATACAGTCTAAATTGTAATAGATGAACGATTGTGTTCATATTGTCACATACGTGGAGAGAAATGTAGGGAGGGACGGAGAAACATGTCTCCATTCTTAACTCCAACGGAAGATGGAGAGATCATACAGAAAGACGAAGAAGCTCAAACCAAGATAACGAACAATGTACGACAAAAACAGCAACAACTAATAGGCAAAGGAGATGATCATGCCTGTCCAAAAGAGACTTTCTAACTACCAAACTGGCTATGTTAGTTTAGTTATGATGTACCAAACTGGGAAGTTCCTGTATACAAATTTTACTGCTGTTTTTTAGCAGTTTGATTTAATTAACTAATATACGTGTTTGGCTGTTTAGTTAGCATACGTTTTCGACTGAAATGCTATCAATTATTTGCTAAGTAGAGTGCGATTTGGGATTGACAAGAATATATCATATCGAAAGAGACGCAGGCTAAGATACAAAACAAAGTGTCGTGTCTGGCGAAAATTCAAAGAGAAAAATAAAGAATGAGGGTGGGTCCAAATTGCAACTCAAAAGTCAGGAAGACTTTTCATTATAAGATTCTGCCCTTTTTGATGCGATTATGAAGTGAATAGATATATCCTTCAACTTTGTGTGGCTCCAAGACATGTACTTCTCTCTACCCTATCTCCATCCATTCACACACAACAGCATTTATCGATTTTGGGCTACCATAACTAAAATGTGAATGGAGTAGAAGGAATTAGTTTTGGTCGATGCAGAAGCAAACTAATAATGCCTCACTCGCTTTTTGCCTTTATGAAAAGAAGTAGAAATGGTCCAAATAAAATGATTGCAGTGAATTCGTGGTGCATAGTTGTTGAATGGTTTAGGTTCGTGAATAGCAATGGAAATAGCGTTGATTTTATGCGATTATGAGGAAAGACGAAGAAATATAAAATTGGCTTTTTAGGGGTTTAAGGTAGGGAATAAAGGGAGAATTATAACGATAGGATAGGAAAGGGTCGTTTTCTTCGTGGAAGAAAAAGAATGAATGCGTTGTGGGGTTGTTGTGATGTGTCACTCTCTCAAATCTAAATTCACATATTGCTTCAAAATCAAAACTACCCGAGAATCATATTTACAAGTTGTGCTTGTGCTTGTGCTTGTGGTGTGGGTCTCTACAACTCTCTCTCTCTCTCTTACCAATTTAATTTTTAGTTTTATATTCCATACAAGCAGGGATAAATATTCCATTATTAAAGGGATTGGCATTTGTTTTGGGTCTACACTCTACACTCAAAATCAGTCTAAGAAGAAGAAAGTTTTG